TCACTCTCTCACTCACTCTCATTCACTGACTCACTCACTCACTCACACTCACTGACTCATTCACTCACTCACTCAAAAAAAAAAAAGAGATAGGTTGAGTCTGGCCAAAAAGAAAAAAACAAAAACAAAATTTCACAGCCCTACCTCCACTGCACCTGGCATCTCAGCAACTCAGAAAGACTGTGCCCCTTCTCCCCTCCTGGGCAGTCGATACTCTATAATAGCGGCTCTCTGTGCACGTGAGGTCCACCCATCAGGGAACCAACCCATCAGGGACCTCAGTGCTCATTTCTGCCAGATCTGTACCATTAATGTGCAAAGTAACCACATTTTTCATTCTTGTCGTAGACGGGGCGTGTGGGGAAATGAGCGGGCTGGCAGGTGAAGTGTAGGTGCAGTGCGCTTTTGCACATGATGCTATGAAGAAATGAATTGGGTATGCCTTATTAATGAAATTCTGTGGCAGGTAGGGAGTAGACTATGTAATCAGAACTTGTTAGCTTGCATAGTAAATTTAGATGATCTGTACCCTTGAAATGCAAACGTGTTTATATCATTGTGAACATGGACTAAACACGACAGGCGGCACACTCACATCACTCCTCTGGGCCTGGTTAATTTTAGACTGCACCGTAATCGGAGCATCTTCAATTGAGGTAAACTTGAGAGTGTCCGGATGTTGGCGATATTTTTTCTGGTTGACAAATGGAAAGAAGGAAAACAATTGTTTACTTCTCATCAAAGGCTAACACATCAAAATCTTTGAAATTTATTTCGGATGGACAAAGTTGGTTTTCTCCCTTATTTGAAAATATAAAAATATGAGATTCTTGGTTGGCTGGAGAAAAAACACAATCCAATCAAAAAGCAATGTTTTAAAAAATCCATTTAATTTTTTTTAAGTTTACTTTTTTTTTTAAAGTTTACTTTTTAAGATCATTTTATTGGGGGCTCTTACAGGCTTATAACAGGCTTATAATATATCAATTGTATCAAGCATATTTGTACATATATTGTCATTATTTTCTAAACATTTACTGTATATACTCGTGTATGAGCCGAGTTTTTCAGCACATTTTTAAATGCAGTTTTTGTGATAAAACTAGGTGCCTCAGCTGATATTTGGGTCGGCTTATACTCGAGTATATATGGTACTCTCTATATGAGCCATTGGCATAGCTCCTCTTTTTTTCCCCTCCCTCCCCACCATGTGACCCCATAAATTATAACTTATTATTGGCTTCATACTTTCCATTTACTTTTCGATTGTTTGGGTCAGTACGCATCACCAGCACTCTGGCAAACCGGACCTACATACTAACTTCTTACTTCCGGTGTGCACGAAGGCGCTCTAGGCCTAACGGAATCGGGAAGCACCACAGAGCTTCCTCAAGGATCGGAGTGCTTTTGCATGACACAAGCACATTCTCAGGGAGGTCCTTTTCCCGGGAGTCAGGAAGCTCTCTGCTTCAGGAGGAGAAATGGAAGGACTAGGCAGCATGTAGGGCTACTGATAAGGAAGGACTTCTGCTTTGCATGCCTTAATGCGGTCAGCACAGAGGTGATGACTAACGTGCTGAGGGGACACAGCAGTCATTGGGACAGGTGTCCAGTCTGGAGCCGGCAACATCTAGCGATCCATATTCCAAAGTAGATTACTGCTGTTCTCACCTACATTGCACTGGAGAAAGACTGGGCTATAGGGTCTCAATGAGTCGGCATCAACTCGATGGCACGGAGTTTGGCTTTTGGTTAATCTGCACAGTGGTGATGACCGCACAGTTGGAATCTATTAAAATTTATACGTCTACATTTATTCAAATGTGTCAAACCGTACACTGAAGATGAGTGGGTTTTATGGCACTGGTCATTTATCTCAATAAAGCTGATATATTTCCACTGTACATTTGCACGACACATTGTCCATTTACCACAAACAATTTTGGTGATGCAGATTGAGCTGCCTGTCTACCTGGGTAAGTCATGCAAGTGGTAAAGTTGCTTTTCTCAGCAACAACCGCCAGCAGAGGGCGCTGAGCCAATTCTCGTGGTTTCAGGACTTTTGACAGAACACAAGCCCCTCAAAAGGACACAGCTGGTGGCTGTACCTCGTTTAGAATGTCAGAAGCTCGCTTGGCCTTTTCCATTTCCAAGGATCCAAATGGAACCCAGCCACAACCTTTCATCCAGCTATTATAGTCCGCTTTGTATTCAACCTGAAAGAACAAGAGGAAGGTTCTATTTCTTTGCTAGGTAGCATGCTCATTAAGTAAAGCCATTAACATTTTACCCAAAAGGGCGTTTTTTAAGTTTTCTGATCAGATTCATTACTCTATACAGAAAGGTTATTTTGAACATTTTCTTGGCAAGCTCTTAGGTTTCTGCTCCTCTTCTCATTAGTTTATATTCCATTTCATTCTTATTTCCGACTGAACAGAAGTATGTGCACTTGGAATTCCAACCTGGAAAGTGCTATATTCAAAGCCATATTGAGGAGTAAATGGAGTTATTGTATTTATACAATCAGATCTGGTCTGTGTGATCACTCAAACTTTAAATGTCCCTAATGGTCGAATGAAGGCACTGCAGTGGTACTGGGGTGGAGGCATTGGGGTGCTAAGGGCAAGGTCAGCAGTTTACACCCATCAGTCGCTCTGCGGGAGAAAGATGAGGCTGTCAGCTCTCTGAAAGATGGACAATCTCAGATACCCGATATAGGGTCACTATGAGTCAGAATGGACCCAGCGGCAGTGATAGTGGATGGTCCAATTAGGGTCCACGGCCACATTGAAGGTGGATCATTCAGATCATATTCTGACTAGAAAAGATTCAGTAAGAGTTACTATTAAAAAAACGTTTGCACACATTGACCTTCGTGTACAATGACCAGCTTAGGTGAGTTTCTGCATTGGCTAATCATGTACTGTTGCCCTGGCGAACTTGTTTGTTGGGGAGCACTTATTATTTGGGATAGTTACTCGATACTATTAAAATAAGGAACAACTCTTACTATCTGGTCCTTGTACTATTCTCAATTCTTCAGTAAGGGCCTTTTAGTGGAGAACAATGGATAGAACCAAATTAAGGGAAATCCCAGGAAAACATTTCATTTCAGCCCATGAGGTGCTTAGAATCTATTTGGGAGGAAGAAACACAGCAAACTTGAACAAATAAGATGGCAATGTCTAAAAGAGAATCATTAGGACAAAGTGTTCCTGGGTTGCTCTGATTGGTCTCCAGTAAGAAAAATTGGTATTTATACAAGTGGGAGCAGCACATGATATAAGCTTTCTGCACACAGAGCAAATCGAATACATGCTGAATGAGACAGTCATTGCAACGGTGATGGCAACAGTGGGTGTGCAGGGAGAGCTCACTGGGACCTGGCACCCCCTAAGTATTCATCCTCAAGCCAATTCCCTTGTTTATGCCAGTGGTCAGGGGGAGGAATCTAACTAAGCCCCAGGGAATGGATACCTCTCCCAAAGGGAAGTAGCAATGGACACTGAAGGGCGTGCTCCTAACAGAACTTCTCTCCCACTGTATACTTGCTATAGTGCGAGGATAAAGTCAACCAATACCCCGAGACCTCTGCGAAGTGCCCCAAAGCACTTAGTTTGGATGTCACTTTCCATTCTCATCTTACACGGAGAGAAAAGAGAAAGCCCGGCTACTCACATCGCTCTGCAGTGCATATGCTTTTTTCGCGAGATCCAGGTTGATGCTGTCTGGTGGGTAGCTATAATCGTGTAGGAGATGCTTATAATCCACATCGCTGGCAATTGCCTGAGACTTCTTTGCTTGAGTGACTTGGACCATATCAAGAGGTGTTGTGTAGACGGTTTTTGACTTTTCATAATCTTTACGGTATTCGCGCTGTGAAGAGGAAATGGCCATTATTACCACATATCCTTAATGGATTTCCAGGAAAGCATAGGGGGTGCTCTTAAACAATAAATACAATATCTGAGCAGTTGTTTTGCCCTAAAAGTAATTCACGTGTTAAACATCGCCAAACTCCCATCCACTGAAAATTGAACATGGGGGAGATCTTTGAAAATCTACTTTTAGGTCACAAAGCAACTACCAGAGAGCCACAGCACACACCAGGAATAGGTCCTGGCTTCCGCTTCAGTCAAAGATTATTTTTTCTTAAACAGTTTTTCAAAGATCACCAGCAGGTGCTATTCTGGAGGGTTTTCAATAAAGAGGCTTTTTTTTTTAATGAATGAAAAGTATATGAAAAGCACTCCCTCTTTCTGATGTTATAGAATCACGATTTGGTAAATGGGGCTTGTAGATGTAATTTGGGGGCTTTCCTGGAGTCAATTTTAAATGGATGATTCCAGATTGTTCAGCACGTCTCTAACACGCTTGGCAGTACACATCAGTCCTACTAAGACTCTCTGGTATATTTCAGAGCAAGTTTAATTTTGGTAGGAATTTAAAAGAAGCCTCAGGCTGCATGGGTCATGAGATCTCAAAGGAGAACCGTCTGTGAAGCGCAAGCATTAAAGTGACGGTGGTCCTTCATGCAGGGCCCTCACGCGCCGAACATCTTTACTGGGCTCTAGGGGCACTTTCGTTGGCCGGTTTTCTGGACTAGTTAGCAGGGTGCTAATTAGGTCAAAGTCCCAGTGTTGCCATTGTTTACCAATTAGCTTAAGGGAGAGAGAGAAAAAAAATACTGACCCACTGCCTTCAGGAAAATTCTAAACTCATCCATAAAGCGCTATGTGTCAAAGTCAGAGACCCAAGCTGGTGCGTGTAGCTGTGCATTAGACATCTACAGCCATCCCTTTGCCGGTGATGAAACCTTTCAGCCTTCCTTTCATGCATTTAATGTTAACTATACAATCTAGACCCTGGTTTTTGGTATGCAGAAACAAATAATAAACAAATAAAGACTCTCAATGTTTATTAGAAATAAACTGGTCAAACAATGTCACATGCATGGACAACAGAAAAGTGGGTGAAGGGAGATGTCAGGCAGTGTAAGATATGACAAAATAATAATTTATAAATTATCAAGGGGAGCAGGGAGGGAGGGAAAAAATGAGGAGCTGATACCAAGGGCTCAAGTAGAAAGCAAATATTTTGAGAATGGTGTGGGCAACAAATGTATAAATGTGCTTGACACAATGGATGGATGGATGGATTGGGATAAGAGTTGTACGAGCCCCCAATAAAATTATTTTTTAAAACAACACCACCAACAATGGCACAAAGGAGTGGGTGTAAAAACGGTTCTTGGTTAAACTGTTTTGAATCCTGTTCAGAGGAGCGCATGCATACCATCTTTTATTTTTAAAAGTGATGGATGTTCTATAAATGCAGCATAGCATTCAGATCGGATATTATGTGAGAGCAACTTATTGACTATTTCTTTTTTTGTCAGCATCAATCAATTAAAACACATTGATTGAGCGCTTATTATGTGCCTAGTGCCCTAATGGGTTTGGTGCTGGATATGAGACAAAAGACAGGTGTGTGGTCCACAAAGAATGATTATCTTCTGGACTTGAGAAGGGGTACGCAGCTAGTGAACCAGAGAGTGTTCTGCATGGGAGCACCAAGGACTGACAAAACCTAGTGTGAAGTGATGAGAGAAAATGAGTGGACAGCTCAGTCCAGTCCTGTACGACTATAGTCAGTGCAAAATGAGATAAAAAGTATGCAGAGCTCGTTATATGAGAACATGTTTAAAATGAAATAAAGTAATTAAATGTCCTTTTTCAGCCTGAAAAATTGTAATTTGCAAACTACACTGAGCAGCCTTACAACTCTGAAGGAATTATCTAAACACTTTAAAACACAATACACTAACATACTATAAATTGCAATTTCAGATACTTGCCACTCTATAGTTAAAAAAAATGTATCTGGGAAATAATGAACAGGCCTAGAGTATCAATGAATTCCCTGAGATTTCAAATAGAAGGCATGAAAAATGCTAATTTTTTCTAGATGCTCTAAACTTCTTATCAGTCTCAAAAGGGTCTATAATCAATTAACTACTTTTCTTGGACCTAAGCAAATACTAGTAACTGATAAATTTTTTTTCTCTATTTTTTAATAGTTTTATTGGCATTTAATTCATATATCATACAATTTAATAGTTCGATCATATTCAGAAGAGTTGGGCATTCACATCACAATCAGTTTCAGCACATTTTCTTCTTTCTCATACTCACAGCTGTTAGCTCCCTATTTCCCCATCCTCCCTTGCCACACCCATAGGTAATTCTTTTTTTTTTTTCTTTAAAAAAAATCATTTTATTTGGGGCTCATACAACTGTTATCCCAATCCATACACACATCAATTGTGTAAAGCGCATTTGTACATCGTTTCTCAACTGATAAATTTTTAACTATGATTCGATCTTTTTCAAAGTAAAGACAGTGCTAAATTTCATTTTAAAGCCTATTCTCCAACTAGCAATTAAGTTTTAAGAACTAAGGTTCAGAGCCTACTAAACATTAACATATAACATTTCCCAAAGTGAACTGACTGGACCTCAAGTAGAGCCCAGTGATTTCTCTTCTCGGATACGAGAGGGGAGGAAGCTGAGGAGTTGATACCCTTCTAAAGTTCCCCCAGCAGTTTCTTGTGAGCCGGAAAGTGCCCAGAGCAGGGGAATTCTTCACCACAGGCATGTTAACCAGGAGGCCATTTCGAAAACAAGATAGTTTTACGAAAGCACTCACATCACTCTGGTTCTTGGCCGTCTTCAAAGAGTGCAGCATCTTGGGATCATCATTAATGCTCAGGGCTCCAATCATTTTCCCTCTATTTTTTTCGTAGTCTTTCTTGTACATCACCTGCAAGGACACTGCACTGATGAGCAAGATCCCACCCGCCCAGAAGTGTCCCAGAGACCCGTGCCCTGCACACTGGGCACACTCACATCACTGGCGTTCCTGCTGTTGGCTTTGGCGGCCAGCAGGGGGATGGCGTCCACTTTAATGTCAAACTTCTTCGCTTTGCTCTTCTCCCAGTCTTGCTTATAAACATTCTGGACAGAGAATAGTGAAGGAGTTTTAAGAACAATGGCTCGCTCCAACTGACCCAGCAAAAATAAATAAAAACAGGGAGACATTTTCTGTATCTATAATTCTTTCACCTCGAAATACCATTTTTACCAAATGACAATACAACTATTGGCCTATCACCCTGCTGCTTCTCTCCTACCACTAAGCATACTCCTCACTTTCTAACGATCGCAAGACCATCGTCTTGTTGGAGAAAGGATAACATGAAATGACGAGCACTTGGAGAAGGTAGGCAATGATACATACGTCAGAAATTTTGCGTAAACCCATGTGATTAACAAAGGGATAGTTGAGAAAATGTATCTGGTCGTTAGAGACAGTGGAAATGAAATGTGACAGCCAAGTAAGACCCAGTTCATTCAGACCTTAAAACTCTACGTGTAAAACAAAACAAAACTCTACTTGTAACTATCTCGGTGCTTGTTTATTAGCATAACTCCTAATCCAGGCCTTTGCGAACCTACAGCATTTCCTCTTTTCACATGTACGTGAACATAGGCTTTTGTGGCCTGGGTACTCACATCACTGAGGTTATAAGCATTGACTCTGTGCTGGATAAAGTGTGGAGCGTCGGCAGGAACATTGCACTTGAACTTCTCACTTTCATGTTTTGCTTTATAATTCAGCTGAAAAAGAAGAAGAGGTCGAAACTGTGAATTCATGCAGGATAGTAGAGAGAGCTCAGGGATTATCTGGGCGGCTCAAATGATTAAGTGCTTGATAACAAGCCCCAAAGCTCGTTCATACCCAAACTCTGAGCCTCATCATCTGCTTCAGAAAAGTCACAGCCTGCAACCGTTGTTCTTTGCACACACGGGGTCACCAGGGGTCGGAATGACAGCAAGGAATTACAACAATAACATAGATTGTTTAGTCATCAGTGCCTTTTCTTTTTTTAGAAAAATGCCTCAAATTGATGCCAGTTGAAGTGCCATGAGCCTCCAAACCTCCAAACCGTAGGCTCTATTTCACTGGCTCAGGCATACCCGAACTTTGGGTTGGCATTTTGTGAAGGCGAGCACAGTGTAGAGACGGAAAACTCATCGTCTGATCTGAATGCTTAGGCTGTGCCTTGAAGGCCCGGCAACTCAAAACTTCTGAAACTGTGATCAGAATTCTTAAAAAAAGAAGAAGAATTCTAAATAAAATACCAGCACACTTTCAAAGTATGTAAATTCTTGTTATACATGATACACTAACGATAGAACTTTATTTTTCAAAGCATTTAGGCACAGTTGGCTGGACAGCAAGGAAAGCAAGTCAAAGGCGGCGGCTATGGAACTCTAGAGCGAAGGGCAAGGTGCACCCGGTGAAGAACGGTCCTATACCGCCTGCCAGACAGAGCCGGGGAGAGCAGCAGGCGGTGAACAGATACATGTTCTCAATGCAGTAGTCCGCACGGCTAAGCTGAGCTGGGGCAGTGCCAATTGTGTGAAGCTGTGCTTTCTTAATGCACAAAAAATGAGCGTGTTTGGAAAAGTTGCCTTTTCACCAAGCAGCGTCTGGATGGCACTTACGACAGGATGAATTGCATATTTCATTTTTCTGTCAGGAGAATAATGCACTCTTCTTTAAGATTTAGCAGTGCTGGCACCTTGTCATTGTGCCCGCAGCATTAGCAGCACCGAGGGGTTTCTTAGGAACGCAAAACAGTGGGTCCCACCTCACACCGACAGGATCAGAATCCGCGTCTTAACAGGAGCGGAGGTGATACCCAGGTGCGTAACATTTGCGAAGTCCTGCTGCTCTTCCCTCCTCTTGGCGTGGCTGACCGTTCCCCGGACCCTCTTTGACCACCCATTCGCTCTCATTCCCGGAATCCTGGTTTAATTTGGTGCATCAGCCCATGCTAGTTAGTCTTCTTATCATTGCCTAACGTCTTTCTGACTTCTGTGTTCTCATTCTTTGTCTGTCTTGCTCGCAAACCAAGAATTAGAAGTTCTAGCCTTATCCGACGAGGGCCATGCTTTGCTGTCGTGTGTACTGAAGTTGAGGTGACGTCTTCGTGTGCACTGCTTTTGGTGACAGACTCTAATGAGTAAGTCAGGTGCTCCTGATCAAAATTAGTGACTCATTGAAGAAACCGTGTTGCTGCTGTGGTTAGGTGCCATCCAGCCGGCTCCACCTCCGAGTGACCCGAGATACAACAGAATGAAACACGGTCCCCTCCGGCACCACCCTCTGAATCAACTCCTGAGCTGAGTCCACTGTTGCAGCTACTGTCTCAATTCACCTCCTTGAAGGCCTCCCTCTCTTTGGACGACTCTCTCCTTTAATGATGCCATTTTCCAGGGACTGGTCTCTTCGGACGCCGTGTCCAAAGAACACGAGAAGTCTCAACATTCTTGCGCTTAAGGGTTATTCTGGGTGTCCTTGTTCCAAGGTAGATTTGTTTATCTTTCTGGCAGCCCAGGATTCTTTTTCAACAGCACCGCCATTCAAGTGCATCAGTTCTTCTCCAGTCTCCCTTATTCATTGTTGTCGCATGCCTATGAAAGGATGGAACACCCAGGTCCGGCACACCTTAGCTCTCCAAGTGACAGCCTCGCTCAAGAGGTCCAGTGCAGCCAATGTGCTCAGTGCAATATATCATTTGATTTCCTGACAGCTGCTTCCATGAGTGTTCATTGTGAATCCACATAAAATGACATCCTTGAGAACATCAATATATGTTTTCTTTTTATCCCGATACTGTCTATTGACCCAGTTGTGAGGATTCTGTATTTCTTTACACTGGCTTGTAATCCATAGTGAAGCCGGCAGTGTTTGATTTTCATCAGCAAGTCCTCGCTTTCAGTAAGCACAGCTGTCATTGTGCATCCCATTAAGAGGCTATTAATTAGCCTTCCTTCATTCCTAATGTGGTGTCCTTGGTCTATGCTCCCACTTCTCAGATTGCTTGTTAGGCACAGACTGAAGTAAGTATAGTGAAAGAGTACAATCCTGAAGCACACCTTGCCTGATTTTAAACCATGCCATATGCCCTGGCTCTGTTCATACAACTGCCTTTTGGTCCAGGTACAGGATCCACATGAGAACAATGAAGTGTTTTGGAATTCTCCTTCTTTGCAATGCTATCCATGGTTTGTTATGATCCACACAGTTGAATACCTTTGCATACTCAAAATAATACTAGCAGACATCTCTCTGGTGTCTCTGCTTTCCTCCAAGACCCATCTAATGTCAGCAATGATATCCCTGGCTCCATGTGTTTCTTCCATGATTCTGGGTTGCATTTACGGCAACTCCCTATTGATGTACTGCTGTGTCTGTTTCGGAATTATCTTTAGGAAATATTTATGGAATATGATATCAATGGTGTTGTTCAAAAAGCCTCCAATTCTGTTGGGTGACCTTTCATTGGAATTGGCACAAAAACACTTTTTTTTTTTTCTTTCCAGGAAGTTGACCAGGTAGCTATCTTCTACATTTCTTGGCATAGACTAGTGCGCGCTTCCAGCACTGTTATCAGTTTGTTGAAACATTCCAGGTGGTGTGCCTGCAACGCGGGGAGCCTTGTTTTTCACTAACGCTTTCAGTGCAGCTTGGACCTTTCCTTTCGTGCCATCAGTTCTTGATCCTACGCTCTCTCGAGATGACTGTTGACCATTTCTTTTTGGTATCATGACTCTGCATTCCTTCCCTCATCTTCCTGCATCATGAGTATTTTGCCCATTGAGTCCTTCTATAACCAGAGAGTTGAATTTTTCTTCCGTTTTCCAGCTTGAGGGGGACAGAGCATTTTTTCACTGGGCTTTTTCTAACTCCAGGCCTTTGCGCATTTCGTTATAATGCTTTACTTTGTCTTCTAGAGCTGCCTTTTGAAATTTTCTGTTCAATGCCCATATTTCTAAATTTCTTTCCTTTGTCTTAGTTACTCTATCTTTAGGAGCAAGTTCAGGGGCAGTGGATGATTTAATGCAGCTCTTCCAGCCAAAGCCTCTGTAACTCACGCCACATGACCTTTCCATGTAAGCATCTGGATAAGAAGGTGGGGGGAGACACTGATAGGATCCACCTGTGATAATTGGTAAGAGGATTCACTAAGCTTTCCTGCTGGATGTAAAATATGGAGTCCTAGTGGCACAGTTTTGAGTTGGGCTGCAATCCGAAAGGTCAGCAGTTCAAAGCCACTGGCTGTTTCTTTCGGTAAAGATGGGGTTTTCTACTCCTATAAAGAATTACAGTCTCAGAAACTTCCAGGGGAAGTTCTGCCCTGGCCTATAGGGTCACTATAAGTTGGCAGTGATTTGATGGCAGTGAGTTTGGTTTCAGGTGAAATGAGCCCTATCAGAAGCAGGAGGGAAAGTTTACAACCAGGAAGCGCCAGGAGTGGAAAGTGTCTTCGGCGTGCAGTGAACATCTTTGATCCAGAAGACAGCAGTAGCATCAGAGGGGAGTGGCGAAAAGCAACAGCAGCAGAGGAACCATGAGTCAGAGCATGAGACAGAGTGGTGGTTTCTCAGCCCACAGACAAATCAAGCTGAGGGCTTTGGGGCAAGAGGCTGCCTTGTGGAGTGGGGTGTCCCTGGGCATTTAACTGGACGAGTTGGGCTTGCTAACCCACAGAGGGGGAGTTGAGTGTGTTCAGGTTAAAGCTTACTGGAGTAGGGTGCCACCGGGCACTTAATTCAGGGAATTGGGTTCACTGATTCATGGACCTTGAGCTGAATTCCTGTGTGCTGCGGCTTACAGCGGAGTGGCATGCCCACTGGGCATTTATTAGCAGTGCTGAAAGAATGTTGTGACCTATCCTGACTGAACAACCAATTTTTGAGTGTTTCTCACCTGTGCTGCCAGCTGTTCCCTCCCACAATAAACCCTGTCATCGTGAGCTTCGTATGTGAGTTCTTTGTGTGGCCACTGCAGTGAATTCCAGAACCCAGAGGAAAAGTGAAGTACGGGAAAGCAGAGCGTGTATGAAACGGAGCACAGCAAGTTTCAGTCTCCTCTGAGTCCACTTTTCCGTATCTTTAAGTGACCTTCAGCTGCCTTCATGTATGATGTTCGCGATGGCGTCCCACAGCGCATCTAGTCTTCACACATTAGTGTTCGGTGCATCAAATTCTTCTTAAATTTTGTTAAATCATTTTATTGGGGCTCTTACAGCTCTTATGACATTCCATACATCAATTATATCAAGCATATTTGTACTTATGTGGCCATCATCATTTTCTAAACATTTACTTTCTATTTGAGGCCTTGGCATCAGTTCTTCTTTTTCCCCCTCCCTCTCCCCACTCTCACTCTTATGACCCCTTGATAAATTATTGATTCTGATTTTCATATCTTACACCGACCGCTGTCTCCTGTCATCCACGTTTCTGTTGTTCGCCCCCTCCCTGGGGGTGGTTTATGTGTCAATGATTACGATTGGTTCCCTCTTCCTCCCCTCCTCTCTCCACCTTCCTACCACCCTCCTGGTATCGCTGCTCCCATTCTGTTCCTGAGGGGTTAATCTGACCTCGATTCCATGTGTCGTGAGCTCTTATATGTGTGTCACATTCTTGAAATGATACTGCTACGTGCTCTTAAGGTGGTCTCTAAATTTAGATGGATATGCTCAAGGTTGTATTTTGGTTCTCATCGACTTGTTTTTAACTTTCTTCAGCTTTAACCTGAACTTGATAGGAACAATTGATGTGCTGTTCAAGAGTAGGCCCCCAATCTGATGATATAGAGCTTTTGCGTCATTCCTTCTCCGGGGATCCCTGGTGGTATAGTGGTTACACATTGGGCTGTGATCCACATGGTCAAAAGTTCAAAACCACCAGTAGATCTACTGGAGAAAGACTGTGCTTTCTACTCCCATAAATAATTCGGCTCGGAAATCCACAGGAGGATTTCACTATAAGTCAGAATTTACTCAATGGAGTGAAAGAGTATCATCTCTTCCCACAGTTCTAGTCCATGTAATTCCTGTGTGTGTCACATGATTAGTCATCTAATTTGCTGTTAAGAAGTCACTGGCCTTGGAAACTTCTGTGATCATCTCCAGCTTCATTTCTATCACCAATGGCATATATTCCAACTGCTAAGCTTCCATCTTTGCTTTGAACTTTCACATTCCAATAATTATCATCAATGCATCTTGATTGCATGTTTGATCAATTTCTGATTGAAGAAGTTTGTACAATTCTTCAACTTCTTCTTCATGGCTTTAGTGTTTGATGTGTACATTTGAGTAATGGTTGCATGAGATGATATTCCTAATATAGGTGCACAGATATTATCCCATCACATGCAGCACTGAGCTGTCATTCCTAGCACAGGCTTTCCGATTAAAAACAGCCATCATGAGTTCTTTTAGCTCATCGATGCCTGGCATACAGATCTCTGTGTGTTCTATTTCATTTTTGACAACTTCCAGTTCTCCCAGATTCATACTTCCAAGTTTCCATGTTCCAATTATTAATGAATACTTGCAAATATTCCTTCTCACTTTGAATAGTGACCCATCAGCAGGTGATGGTCCTGAAACTTTGCTCCATTCATGGCATGAAGGTAGGCTGCACTTTGAGGCGGCAGCTCTTCTCCAGCCATATTTGAGAGCTTTTCACGACGTTTGACAATATTCCTTTGCTATGCATAAGTTTTTCAGTAGCTAATCCTTCCTAAGTGAATTGTCTATTTGTTTTTCCTAGTCCATTCTTAATCTGGAAGCTCGCCTAAAACCTGTTCACCAGGGGTAAATCTGCTGGTATTTGAAACAACAGTGGCATAGCATCCAGCAGCACAGTGACATGCAAGCCTCTACAGTATGACGCACTGACAGCAGAGAGATTGAAATATTGGATATGTCTAATTGCCTACCACCATTCTTGAAAAACAACATTCTTGGGAGAGATAAATGCTTGTGCTTAAAATCAACGAAGAATGTTGGGCAAACCCCTCTTGGATACATCAATGCACTTACATCACTAAGCTGTTTCGTGTTGAGCTGGGCCTGCAGAAGTACAGGAGAGTCTGTGACAGCCGTGAATTTGGTCTTATCTGGAGGAACTTTATAGGTATGCTGAAAAAGAAGATTTTTTTAATGAAAAATTTTAAATGCATCTTTAGATATTTGTTCCCATATATACTAACATATAAAAAGGATTTGTTTCAATGCAAATATAGCTTGTTTTGCCTTTTTTGGCATCTTACTTCATATATTCTTACATCTCCCTCTTTCTCTTTCTTATTCTCGACTGTAATTAGATCTAACACGGTATACCTGCTACCATTCAGCAAATGGATTATTTTTTCTGTTGCTTAATGAGTCACTGTTGTTCAATGACTCTTTCCGATACTTTTCATTTAACCTAGGCTGAACCTTGGCTTAACCTACACGTTCCAACTTCCCATTCATCTCTTGCCAATTCACTGCCAGTACTGTCCCCTTCCCTAATATGCTCCGGTCACCTTAGCCTTTGACTTTCTTGAACACCGTGCGTGTTCCCTCTTCAGGTTGTTCCTTCTGCTGCTCTTCCCTTGCTTTTGACTCGGCTGGACTATTGCTGACTTCAACCCTCCTTGACCACCCAATGTAGGCACTCTTTCACACACTCACTCTCACATCATTCTACTTTCATTCTGAATCTTCACCCAATATTAGTTTTATTATTCTTGCTCAGTGTATCCTGGCGCCCAGGCTCTCTTTCCTTGATAATTGTCCGCCACTATCAGGAGAATGCACACTCCGCAAGAGGCAGATGGCGTCTCCTTTGTGCCCTTCGGATTTTCAGCACCAAGGACAGTGCCAGGCACAGTTAATAGGGCAAAGCTATTGAACGAACATCTGTCTTTCCCTAACCTCCACACCTTCCCTTTGCCCTTTATCTACAATTATGTAAACGAACTGATTTAAAGAAATGCTTTTATTTCCTATCTTCACCCCCAAATCAAGTTTAAAATTGAATAACTCCTGCTAGCCATTAGAGGCTAACATGCCTAGTGACATTTGCCACTAGATGTCACAAGAATCCCAAACCAAATTTCAAAATTTCAGGGACGCCCACTTACATCTTTACACTGGTCTAGCTTCTTGATGGCTTCATATTCTTGGGTTATTGTCTGAGGGAAGTAGCACTTCCCTTTGTCGTCTTCATATTCTGCCTTGTAGCTCTTCTGCAAGGAGAAAGCAGAATAGATCATAACCACCAGAGCTTCTAACTAACATCAGTGTGAGCCATGAACAATTGTCTTCACGCTTACATCACTATTTTGAGCTGACACTTTCATGCAGTGTGTTTCATAAGGGTCTTCAAAGGTGCCCACATAATGTCCCAAGATATTCTTCACATATGAATCTTTATATTTATTCTGGAAAAGAAAACATATGTCACCCAAACCGACAATTAGTTGCCAAACTATACGTGAGTTTTCAAGCCCCCGAAGTACTCATGCTCTTCCCAACCTCGCCAAAGTTCTTCAGCAGAGTGTCAAGTTGATATTTAGGGGTCTCGCAGTAATTCATGCTCGTGGCCTTTGTCTTCTCATAGTTTTCCTTGTACAATCTCTGTCAAAGGGAAAAGAGAATTAAGGGAAGACAAAGAAAAATGTATCTCATAGAACAAAATGCATGTTTTGCCTATCCCTGAAGGGACATATGTTTGCCGCCTTCAGGATTTCTTTTTTGCCAACCAAAAAGGCTGAATGAATATGTCAGACTGCAGCGTTTCCCTCGGGGTGCTGGGACGATCCATGGGGGACTCAAAAGCAGACAGTTGCACTTTATGCTGGATCATGGGCTACAGTGCAAAAGTTTTTATTGTCAGGTGGGCACCGTGTGATTATTTTTTTCTGAACAGGGGGGAGATAGGCCTTATAAGTTTGTGAACCTCTGTGTTAGAGGTTCATATGTGGTATAAACTCAGGTTTCTGAAAACCATGCAAACATTTTCATGTATGTAAACTGTCCTAAAATGTATCAAAATGAGTAAGTGAAAGTATACTAATGCTGTCTTCCACCAAAAACAAACAAAAATATTTGTCTTAAAATAATTATTTCCTTTTGGACATGCTTGAACATGATTTTTTAAATAGATACTCTATCAGGTATAAAGTTTAAGCAGACGTAAGACACTGAAGTTAGTCCCATAAAAACATTCAATAGAGCATTTATTGAAAACATTTTTTACATTCACTTAATTACGTTGGCCTTTGTCACTAATGCCTATCATCTGACTTTGTAGCAATAATATAAGGAAAGACTGCTTTCTGTTTCACTGCATCTATCATGTAGTTTTCATCATATTTTATTCATCTCCATAGAAATCTAAAAATATACTTAATAAAAACAAAATTATTTGTAAATGACAAAGAGTAATAAAACCAAACCAAACCCACTAATCCATTCTGACGCATCGCAACCCTACCGGACAGAGCTGATGAGCATTTTTTTGGTCAAGGGTTTTCGGTTTGGTCAAGAGTTTTAGTTAACTTTTAATAAGTATTTGGAGGTCTTTAAAATGTTAGCAATAGTTCCTAAAAATTGAAATATAGATACTGAGTTGAGGTTTTGTGTAACTTCGCCTCTATTTTTCCTTATCCTGATTTTCTCATTTCTCTTTTCATATGTATGTATTTTTGTAAACTACATTAAATCAGGGCAGGTTCTGGAATAAATCCCTACATGCAGACATACATATATATGAAGAGCCTTCAAAGGAGTCCATGGGAAATATATCATCTCTTAATTTCATGTTCCATGAACTTTTTGAAGCCTTCTCATGTATTTGTACATACCAAGATTTTGAGCCTGTTTCTAGGCATAACAATAAAGAAAATTATATTACTATACATATTTCTTCTTCTAATAAGTGGAGGGCATTAAAGAGATTAAGGCACCCTTTAAAATATTCACTGTGATCTCAATACTCAGAGCTGCAAATGAGGAAGTTAATCTTCCTTTTCCACCTAGACTTTCATGCATGCTGTGTTATCCTCAATCTGAGATGGAAGTTGGGCTAATGTCCCTTGCAAGGCTGTGTGAGACACCAAGAGCAGCTAGGTATAGAGTAAAGGTGATGAAGAAGGCACTCACGTCACTCTGGTTCTTGGCCGTCTTCAAAGAGTGCAGCATCTTGGGATCATCATTAATGCTCAGGGCTCCGATCATTTTCCCTTTATTTTTTTCGTAGTCTTTCTTGTACATCACCTGCAAGGACACTGCACTGATGAGCAAGATCCCACCCGCCCAGAAGTGTCCCAGAGACCCGTGCCCTGCACACTGGGCACACTCACATCACTGGCGTTCCTGCTGTTGGCTTTGGCGGCCAGCAGGGGGATGGCGTCCACTTTAATGTCAAACTTCTTCGCTTTGCTCTTCTCCCAGTCATGCTTATAAACATTCTGAAAAGGAAAGTTGTAGTTAAGGAATTGGCAATGGTTATATGGATATCATCACATTCTAAAAATTATAGGGCAATTAAATATCTTGTCTTAATATGAGTCCCTTGATAGGGTAAATGGTAAAGCAATGGACTGTTCTCTGAAAGGTTGGTGATTCAAACCCACCCAAAGGTCTCTCAGAAGTGAACTTGGTATGCTACTTCCAAAATATTTCAGCCTTGAAAATCCAGTGAAGCGCGGTTTTACGCTACACACATAAGTCACCACAAATTGGAATCAACCAACAACAGTAATATAACATAAAATTGAAATATCCACCACTTATTGCCACTGAGTCAATTCCAACTCACAGTGATCCTGTGGGCTAGTAGAACTGCCACACAGAGTTTCGAAGGCCATTGAATCGTTATGGAGGTAGAACTGCTATGTCTTTCTCCTGTAGGTATAACTCACCAACTCTTTGGTTTTAGTGCATAACTAGTGTGCTACCGGGTCTTCTTTTTACTGTTTAAGCGAAGAAAATGCCTATTTCAAGTAATTCTCCTTAAACTGGAACTTCTAATTCTCCAAGAGCAGATTTCTCTACTCTGCATTTGACTCTCATCCAATTAACCTTATTCCAATGATCATACTAATATTTGATTCTGAATACTGAAGTCCATAGAGTGGTATAAATATTCCAGTTAATGTACTCTCTCTTTTTTTTAAGTTAACTTACTTTCTATGGGCATAAAGACATTACTTTTTATTCAATCTGTAAGTCTTTTACAAAGATTATTTCATGAACCACTACAATCATCACAGATGCTTGATAATCTTTGTACTCATTTATAGAATATTGAAGAAATTGAGGTCCCTGAGGGTAATTTGAATTCTTCTTAACATTAAACTCAGAAAATGAGAGATCACAGTGGATACCTAGGCTTATACCTTACACCCTATATCTTCACAAGTTATCTTATGTGTAAAAATAAATATCATGTGAATTAAATGAAGAAAACGACAAGCTCGTAGAACAAAGAGAGTGAAATTACATCTGAAAGAAATAAGATTTTGAAAGATGATTAATTGGAACATGATATAAAGGAATCTGTAGCTAAAAGGTCTAATATTGAAGTCAAGGGTCATGTAAAGATGGTGGCCCCTCTACAGTTGGTTAAAATGTATTAAGACACTCTAATTGTATGCAGCTACTGAAGACATGCATACATCCTATAAGGTGAATTTAACCAGTCACATTGGGACAAAGGAACATAATGCAAATATTTGACACCAAAGCATTACTGCTAACTACACTTAGCATTGAACTAATTCGATGACGCAGTACAACGAGGCAAGCAAAAGTTGTCACGTAACACGACTTAGTTCATAAGGAACTTACGTCACTCAGGTTATAAGCGTTGACTTTGTGCTGGATGAAGGCAGGGGTATCTGGAGGTATATGGCATTGGAATTTTTCATTCTCATGTTTTGCTTTGTAATTTAGCTGAAAGAAAAAAAAACAACCAGGAGAGAGCACCAATCAATTCAGAAGAAACACTGCTTCAAAACATAAGACAAAAATCTTGGGCGATACATTTTGTGGCGTATCTGGAAAAGTTGTTCGGATCAAACAAGAGGTACAGAGCTTGGCTAGACGATCACGCTGCATCATTGACAACCGTTGTGCTGGACATCCGACTCCAGTTGCCACACCCGTCACCATGGCAGGCCATGAGGACGATGCTGCTTCCTACTCTTCCCCCTCCAAAGACATAGCAGTCGGCCCCGGAGATTCAAGAGCAGCACAAGCTTTTCTTCCTTTGCCTTCTCATTGCTCACTTTCCAGAAAGCTTTTCCTAACAAATCTACGCATGCGCCCCTGAACGGACATTACAACTTGTAGACATGAAGCCTTCCTTTCTGGCCATTAATCTACTGTGGCTAATTCTATTTTTAAGTTCAACACAAGTTTTGAAGTTCATATTTAAGTAAATCTTCATATGATAAATAAAAAATGGGATCTATATATAACCTCCTCCCTGGGGGATGAACAACAGAAAAGTGGGTGACGGGAGACGTCGGACAGGGCAAGATATGACAAAATAATAATTTATAAATTATCAAGGGTTCATGAGGGAGGGGGGAGTGGGGAGGGAAAGGAAAAATGAGGAGCTGATGCCAGGGGCTTAAGTAGAGAGCAAATATTTTGAGAATGATGAGGGCAATGAATGTACAAATGTGCTTTACACAATTGATGTTATGTATGGATTGTGATAAGAGTTGTATGAGCCCCTAATAAAATGATTTTTAAAAAAAGGAAAACAAAACAAACCTCCCCTCCCCGACAAAAAATTTTTGTCTCAAAGATTTCATTTTCTGGAAAAACTTAAAAGAAATCCCAAGTATTAAATACCTGCTCTCTGCTGTGTACTATGAATCAAGATTCATTTAATCTTCAAAACATTCACCAATGGTCAAAGAGAAGTAGGTGGCATAAAGAGGTTACCTCAAGACCCCCAAACCCCTCCAAGCTCACTGCCATCAAGTAGATGCTGACTCATAGCAACCCTATCAAACAGGGTAGAATTGCTTCAGTGGGTTTCCAAGACTATAGCTCTTTACTGGAGTAGAAAGTCTTGCCTTTGTCCTGTAAATAACTTCGATTCAATTCTCATCTACCAAGCTGTTTCAACTGCAACCCATTGTGTATCCCACCAGGCCACCAGAACGCCAGAAAAGTGTTTTAAGTGATGGCCAATATGTGCATGTTAAAATTGTTAAAGCACGCATAACCTTTTAAAATAAATATAACTAGTCATTGGATTTTCTGAGTGAGTTATGAAATGTTCTCCATCATGGCTGAATTTCCTTAGCTATTTAGCAGAACTTACATCACTCAGTTGTTTGGAATTGACTTGGGCTTGCAACTGAACAGGAGAGTCAGTAACTTGAGTGAATTTGGTCTTCTCTGGGTGGACTTTGTAGGTATGCTGGATAAGGAGAAGGGAATTGGCGTTAGCAGCTGAAGCATATCCAAGTTGGCCCAGAGGTCAAACAAGCAGCACCCTCCCCGTCTAACACAACCAACCAACCAAACGCTTAGTTGATACAGCATAGATTGTTGTTGTTATACTTGTATGAGGATTTTTGTTTCCTATCGTTCGTTTCTTCATAACTCTCTTCCGGGAAGCTAAGCAAAGAATAACTCTTACAACATACAAATGCTAACAAGGAAAAACAGTGTCTCTACAACCAAATACATTTGCTTCTACTAGTTTTCGTGCTTACTTATAAAAATGTCAAGATTTTACACTTATCTTGCCCACGATCTGGAGAGCAGGAATGAACCTAGTTCCTGCTATAGACTTACATCTTTGCACTGATCTAGTTTCTTGATTGCTTCATATTCTTGAGTTATGGTCTGGGGGAAGAAGCACTTGCCTCTGTCCTCTTCATATTCTGCTTTGTAATTTTTCTATGAGGAGAAGACACCGGCTTTAAGGATGCAACCAATGTATTTGCACCCCACCAATAGATTATTTAAGCAGTCAAGTCAAATGATTGTCTTAGAACTTACATCACTGTTTTGAGCTGTGACTTTCATACAATGTGTGTAATACGGATCTTCAGGGCTGCCTACATAATGTCCCAAAATATTCTTTAAGTAGGAATCTTTATATTTAGTCTGAAAGACAAAAAACGTATTTCATTTCATTATTGATGAAATGATGGGTCTTTTCATTAGCAGATGGAGTGAACACAGGGTAGCTTACATCACTACTGAAGTTATGCAGAACTGTATCGAGCTGAAATTTGGGAGTCTCACAGTAATTTATGCTCTTTGCCTTTGTCTTTTCGTAGTTTTCCTTGTATAATTTCTGTCAAATAAAGGGGAAAAAATCAGTTAAAGTAGATTCCTGTCACTCCCACACTGATTACAACACTTGCATTTTCCAACACTAAACAAAAGAAGAGGGAAGAAAAAAAAGATCGCCTGCTGACTGTCTTAAAAACTGACAATCAAACACTGGGGTGTCAAAAATCATAAGCCTTTTTTTCCATTAGCTACTTTTATAATGTCTAAGTTTTTCATACTCTCAAATAATGATAGAGGCTGTTTCTGACCAAACCCTTAGAGAGAGATCTGTGTTGTTCTGAACTGCTGCCTTCGCCACCTCCTCACCTCGTGTACCAAGCACAAACAGGAAGGGCTCGAGCAGCGCCAAGCCTTTTCAGTTTGTAAAAAAGCCTTCATAACAGTTTAGCAGCAGTTTAGGAATACGCTCTCTTCCTCCTTCTACCACGGAATAATCCCTTATTATACAAGCAGTCATTAGCCTCTGACCCTGACTCACCAGCCTCTCTGCTTCAGTGTTCACAGCACACAGCAGCAACAAGCTTTTAGGCGTGTCTGTTTCTGCACGTGGCCGGCTTTCTTCCCTGTGACCTTGGAAAGACCGGGCCTTGTGCCACCACTGACTACGGTCTTCTCTAGTCCAAACTTGGCGCTTTCTTGTTTGCTGGGCCATCTCCTTGGTCACTCCGTTACCAAAAGGAATTTCAAAATCTACTCCTGAGCCTATTTTCCCCTTCTCTGCCAATGTTTGCTCGTTAGGTGGAGGCTATTTGATGGATAGTAATTTAAAATTTTAATTGTTGATTTCAAACGTGCAACTGATAAAGCAGCTCATTGCTCCTTATTTTTGTAGGGTTTTCAAAAAGTAAACCATATTAGCAGTTTCAATGTTGTTGTTTTTTAATCAAGAAAGTGAACTTGAATCTTGGTGCAACATGTTTGCTAAAGATGCCCTTCATTTGGGG